AGAGAATTGAAAATGCCTGACAATGCTGGAGAATGGAAGGGGGGAGGGAGCGGGAAAGGGGCTTCTTGGGGGTGGGAGGGAAGTTATGGGGGGGGGGAAGCCATTGGAATCCATAAGCTGTACTGTGGAAATTTTTTTTCATTAAATAAAAGTTAAAAAAAGAATACTTGATCAGCCCTTGTCCTGACTGTTGATGTACAATTGAATACTTTATCTCTTTTAGTACTTTTTTTGTTCTACTTAATACTATTGGTAGAACTCTGTTAACACACAATTATTCTTAAGTGTTGAAACTTAACTGAAAAGTGATCTCTATTAAATATGAGTGGGAATAAGAGAGAGAGAAGATTTACAATTTGGGACATGCTCAAGCTGACTTGCCCCAAATGGTGGAGTTAGAAATGTGCCAGAGGATTCCAATTCAATCCCATCAAGGTGGCATGTACCAATGCCATCTCACTAGTCCCAGTGATCAATTTCTGTTCACAATTGATCATACTGATAGGACTAAGAATCAGAGAGATCACACAAAGAAGACTAGTGTCTGCAAATACTAACTGACAGAATAAAAATGGGAGAGAACGACCCAACATGGGAAGCGGGATACACAGCAGACTCATAGAATGGCAGATGTCCTAAACAGCACTCTGGCCTCGGAATCAGCCCTTAAAGCATTCGGATCTGGCTGAAGAACCCATGAGAATATTTCAGGCATGGAAAGCCAAGACACTCTGGCAAAAAAACAAACACACACCTAAATGAAAGATCTCTGCGAATGAGATCCCAGTGGAAAGAACAGGTCATCAAAGAAGGAGGTACCTTTCTCTGAAGGGAGGAGAGAACTTCCACTTTGACTATGACCTTGTCAAAATATGATCAGAGTCAGCGAACTCAAAAGGCTTCATAGCCTTGGCAACTCATGACAAGAGCCTAGGGTGATTACTTACACCATATACATTGTTAAGTCAACAACAGGAGTACTATGCACTTACTCCTCATGTAGGATCTCTGTCCTTAATGTGTTGTCCAATGTGAATTAGTGCCATAACTAGTACTGAAACAGTATTTTACACTTTATGTTCTGTGGGGGTGCAAACGGATGAAATCTTCACTTAATCTATGCTAAATTGATCTTCTGTATATAAAATTGAAAATGAATCTTGATGTGAATGGAATGGGAGAGGGAGAGCGAGAGATGGGAGGGTTGCGGGTGGGAGAGATGTTATGGGGGGGAGCCATTGTAATACATAAACTGTACTTTGGAAATTTATATTTACTAAATAAAAGTTTAAAAAAATCAAAAAATATTTATTTTATTTAATTGAAAGATAGAAATACAGGGAGAGGGAGAGAAAAAGAGATCCACCATCCATTGGTTCATTCCCAGTATGGCCAGGCTGAAGCCAGGAACTGTAAGCTTCTTCCGGGTCTCCAGCACAGGTGCAGTGGCCCATCTGCTGCTGCTTTCACAGAGGCATTAGGTAGGAAGCTGGATGAGAAGTGGAGCATCTGGGGCTCAAACTGGCACCCATATGGGATGCCAGTATTGAAAGAAGGGGTCCAACATTGTATGCCCCCCTTAGAGTAATCCTGTTTTAATTCATTACTTTCATTTGCATTGAATTTTTATTATGATCTAACTGCTTGACTTAGCAAATGTTCTTGAAAGCTGTTAATCAAATTTTTCTGAAAGAAGATGCTCTAAATTTTTAAATTTCACATTCTGTTACTTGTAGTCCTGGGTATTGTGAAAGTGCCTCCGCAACCAACAGTAATACTTAAGTCACCCAAATCAGGAATATCAGGGGTACTTAACATAAAATATCTTGGAAGGTCAAACACTAGGTTTTAGTTTTAGCTTTCATTGAAAGATTTACTTGTTTTATCAGATATCAGAAAGTCCTTCCACAGAATTTTAAAATCCTCCTATAAATTTAAAAAAAGAATCACTCTTAAAATGCTAATAATTGTTTTCTAATTTCTGTGGTTTTGTATTACATGTTTTCAAGACATTCAGGTAGTATGAAATTTAAAAAGAATTATTAAGGATATATTCATTTCTTCCTGATCCTGTTTTCCTTCTGGACAAACACATAAATTCAAGCAGAGTCAGCTTTTTGCTAGTAGACAGCATTTTAAAAGTAAATCAGGCAATAGTTAGCGAAAGTGTAATTGTGAGATGATGTTGACAAACGAAGACCCAGGAAAATGTGGCTAGTTCTGGAGTTTAGAAACAATTAGGAGACAATAGAGATGCTCAAGTTATGGCACAGCTGCAGTTATTATTATGCTGCCCTTTGAAATAAGGAAATATGCTAGAAATAGAAAATCTGATAACAGAAATAGAAAAAACTTTTAAAATGAAATTTTTAAATCTGAATATATGAAAGAAAAATTTAGTGGTTCAGCTTAAAGGCATGACTGATGTGATAAATGGAATAGTCAGTGACTCTGAAAATAAATCAAGAAACTGTATCCTGTCTAAAGAAGCAAACAAATCCAGAATAGTAACACAGCCTTGAGGAAATATATAAAACCTAAAAGGTGTAATATCTATGAAACTGGAATTCCAGAATGACAGAAAAGAAAACGGGGAAGGAAAAGTTTGAGTAACATATTTTCAATTTACTTAATAACAAGAGCTGAAATTTTTCAAAGTGTGTCAAAAACAAAGGCTTACAGATAGAAGTTCAAAACATTTCAAATAGAATAGACTCCAAGAAAACCACATGTTTACTCAAGTTCTTCAAAGTTAAAAATGAAAAAAATCTCAAAAGCAGTGGAGAAAAAAGCAAAAACCACAGAGGTAGATGATACTGATACCCATTAGGAAGTGAGTGGAATCGGAAGTGAGTGGAATGTCTTTACTGTGCTGAATGGAAATATTTCCTTATTTGAGCAAAAATATCTTTCTGAAGTAAAATTGAAATACAGACTTTTCAATTTATTGGTATGAGAATTTAATGAAAAGAAATGGCAAGCTAAGTTTCAGTAAGTTGAAATAAAACAGCATCAGAAGGAAACTGATTTTCAGAAATGAAGGAAAGCATTATTTATTTTACATAAGTTATTTATATATCAATTTGATATATTGATATATTGATATTAAAATATTATATATCAATATATCAATATATCAATATTGATATATTGATATTAAAAATTTCAAGATGATTTTTCTTCAAAATTTCATAATATAACCACTTGCCACAACTGACAGGAAAGCAGGCAGACAGAAAATGTACTCCCATTCAGGAAAACTTTACACTCATCTCCTTCAAGCAATGCATCTGGCAGTTGAAAACAGGTTGGAAAAGGCATCTATTTGCTATTTGCTACAAAATAATTTTAACACCACTTTTACCTCTCACAACACCATCCTGTGTGACCTGGGACTGTGGTAAAGAACAAAGTAGCACAAAGTATCTGAAATATCATGGCCACGCTTATGAATGTCTTAGCTGCTACACTGCACTTTCAGAAAGCAGTTTACACAATCAAAGCTATTCTAAAATAGAATATTCTAAAATAGAAACAAGGACGTAGACAGACACAGATATGGCTCTCCCCAAAGCATCATCCCTCCCAGTTCAGTTCCTCGCATTCCATAGAAAGAAAGACTCTGCCTGAGTCTTCTGTATCTGATATACCAACTCAATGTAAAACCTGACCCTGGAGAAGATACTGTCTCAGAAAGTGGGCATCCATGGGCAAACCAGCAGAAGTGGAACATGAAGTGTAGATTACAACATACTCCCAATGTTCAGTGTACACATGAGAAAGAAATGGTTCCTACGCAAGGAAATACCCTGATTTTTGGAAATATGCACTTATTTTGCTTTGGGAACATATAATTTTCATTATAGTCAAAGGCTTATTGACTTCTTTAAATAAAAAGTTCAATAAACAAAAATATGAAGGCCATAGTCCAGCAGGAAAACAGAAACATTAATTAAAGGAAAAGATATTTAACTTCATGCATATAATTTTAAAATATATCCCAAATCATTAAAACTAAAGAAATATATGGCTCCTCTCTGTTTGATAAGTGTTTAAAATAAATTTCACAAAAATATTATATTTGCAGCATTTGAGATAAAGGGTGCCATGGGACTGGAATCGTGGTGTAGCAGGAAAAGCTTTTGCCTGACACACTGTCATCACATATAGACAATCGTCCATGTCCCTGCTGCTCCACTTGCAATCCAGCTCCCTGCTCTTGGCATGCGAAAAGCAGCAGATGATATCCCAAGTGTCTGGGCCCCTGCCACCCATGTGAAGACCAGGATAAAATTTATGGCTCCTGGCTCCTGGCTTTGGCCTGGCCCAGCTCTGGCTTTTGCAGCCATCTGGGGTGTAAGCCAGCAGATAGAAGTTCTCTCTCTGTAAATATGACCTTCAAAAATAAATTATTTTTAAAAAGACAAAAGTTGACAGCATAGGTAGTTGGCTTTTGAAACTAGGCTTATGCATACACCTATATAGACAGTGTAACAGAGAAAATAACCAGTAAGGCCAATGGGGGATAACGACACCAAGCTTGCAAATCTTGGCAAAGTGTATATGGTATATAGTATTCATTATACTAATTTTTACTTTTATAGATGCTCACAGTTGTCTTCAAATAAAAATAATTGTAAAAAGCCATTGAAACTGGAATTAGTAAAAACACTCTAAAAGTAATGTCAATTGAGTGGACACATTAAATTTGTTAAAAATACTAGCTTGTAAAAACCACTTAATTAAAAAAATCACTGTATTTTATGGCCATTTCACAAAATGAAGCCATTCTAATCTTAAGCATTACAGTTAACATGGGTTCCTCTTGCTTTGCATTGCTGAGTGTTTTCTTTTTGTATATAAAACTGAACACATGCATGTGAAAATGCATTTCCACATTGTATTTCCTAAACCTTGGCTTTCTTTCTCTTTCTGTTATGTTTTTCCCTCACTCCCTATATCTGCATTTATCTGTGTCTCTGTCTCTATCGCCCTTTATCCTGTCCAAATCAGGAAATTAAGTTTAGTTTTGATTTCTTTTTTTGGCAATAAAATAACAAAAACTTTTTTATTTTTAATTAACAATAATTATTTGTATTTTAGGGTATAGTGTGAAATTGCAATACAAGTGTATTTTTAAAGACATTGTAAAAAGAAATTAAACAATAGGTATAGTTTGGTGCAAAAATTTTGAAATCCATGCACAATTTTTTATAATTTGAATTTTCATGAACCTTAAAAATTTATAAAAGGTATACAAATTTCATGCAATTCATATATACAGATTTAGAAACATAGTGATTCTTCCCACCATACCCTACTTCTAAAAACACTTACTGTGGTACTGTTGTTGATGTCCACAGCAAAAACATGGAGAAGAATGCCTTTGGGCTGATCTTCCTCTTGGGCTCGACTGATGAACCTAATCAATTCAATAATTCAAAATAGATAACTAATATTTCAAATCAATCCATGCTGCTAATATTCTCAATGCACATCATATAGATGGATTTAGCAAGATCAAAACATGAGTTGGAAAGATTTGCAAGAAATCAAAGCATGGCCCAGAAAAAGTAACTGGCTCCATGATGAGCTGTTTGGGTAGCAGGTGCACTCCATAAAATACTCTTCCTTAGACTGGAGGGCCTGGCACCTTCTCAGGTATGGATGTGGCAGTTTCTTTGATATTCCACAGAGTGACCTACAGTTATAAGGATTTAATACATGTTGAGAATACTGCTATCTCCAACCCACAGGTTGGAGAGAAGGAAAAGATGAGAGTGGCATCTATGGCTCCAAAATGATAAACAAAACTTGTGTATAAATTTGGGGACTTTGCTTTTTATTTTTCAGGTCTATTATTTTTAGCTGCTTTTTAAACATTTTATTGAAAAATATGATACATATCAAGAAATGCACATAACTGTACAGATAACCAAGGTTTTTGTCCTCTGAGCACACTCATAACCAATACTCAAATTAAGAACAGAATACTGCTAGTACTAAGAGAGTCCTCACTACTCAGGTGGGAATCTTACTTATAGAAGCTTTAGGGTGAAATCAGTAAGCATACATGTGAAGATGGTTTTAGCTATTGTAAGCCTCAGTTTCCACAAGTGAAAAGGTGTAAAGTTGAACCACAGGGGGCATTTAAGCTTGACATTCTATTCAAAAGTAAAAAGTCTTATAATTTACTTTAAATTGTATTGAAGATTATTGACATTTGGATAAACATGTTGGACCAGAGACAAGAATAACCCTTGTAAATGATAGCCATATTTACTTCTTCATACAGATTCAGAGTTATAATATGTTCAATGAGTTTTTAGAAGTTATAATTTTTTTTTTTTTTACAGGCAGAGTGGATAGTGAGAGAGAGAGACAGAGAGAAAGGTCTTCCTTTGCCGTGGCCACCGCAGCCAGCGTGCTGCGGCCGGCGCACTGCGCTGATCCGAAGCCAGGAGCCAGGTGCTTCTCCTGGTCTCCCATGGGGTGCAGGGCCCAAGCACTTGGGCCATCCTCCACTGCACTCCCTGGCCACAGCAGAGAGCTGGCCTGGATGAGGGGCAACCGGGACAGAATCCAGCGCCCCGACCGGGACTAGAACCCGGTGTGCCGGCGCCGCAAGGTGGAGGATTAGCCTGTTGAGCCGTGGCGCCGGCCAAGTTATAATTTTTATTAATATGATCATTTGATGAAAATCAGTTCATACTAATGACTAATAGTCTCTCGTCTATATAACTGCCACATTTAATATCCAAACTGAAGAGGTTTCAAGGTTCAGTCATTGAAGTACTTATCACTTAACTGCTTTCACAAAATGTGCAATAAACACACAAAGCTGACCATTTATGATGTTTGTTGCAACAACCACATTGTCTTGCTCCAGAATCTTCAGTATCCCACAAGCAAACCCTGGGTGCCTGGAGCAGCCACTCCCCATTCTCTCCTCTCACCAGACCCTCTATAAGCTGCTCATCAGTTAATAGACATTCGATTACTAGCTATTTATGGATATTGTAAAGAATGCTGCTAGGATTATTTGTGCACAAAGTTGAGTGTGAGTTTATATTTTCATTGTTTTGGGGCCTATCCCAAAGAGTGCCATGCCTGACTCATATGGACCTCCTATGGCTAATTCATGCAAGAAAACAAGCTTTGCTGCCATGGCTGCCACATGTTCCATTTCTACCTGCAAACCTTTCTCCACTCCCCACTTCCATGGCTTCTCAAGACCTGGTTCATCAGGAGAGTGGAACCTTCATTGTCCTCAACTTGCATAGGATAAAGGCCAGATTCTAATTACTCCTTCCACTCTTCACAAGAGTGATGAACTTGCAGAGCAAACGCACTAGATGCTGGGCATTGTTGTAACTGCCTTGGATGTGTTCACAAGATAACAGGTTAACGTGGTGCTCACACTTCCTCCTCAGTAAAAATATGGGTCTTACCAATTCTCTCATCAAAGTCTCTATATATTCCCAAAGAAAACTATTTTCTTTCCCTCGCAAAATAGTGAAGAAGTTAAGAAATGGGACTTGAAAACGTTTAGAGAAATCTCTTATGGAAAAGAGACAGGGAGAGTATGCTGCAGGAATGCGTTTCTACCCAATAAACATTGTATTTCTTTCAGCCAACAGTTGCATTAGAGAATAATTTCGTGAAAATTTTATTTGTCTCAATTTTAAAATAACCTGAGACAGTTTGCTAGAGTAGGATGAGAACTAGAGGAAAGTAGAGTGCTGAATCAGAATGTGCAAAGCATGTGTGAGACTCGGTGTGTGGTTGCTCAGAGCAGGGGTAGTGTTGCACGTTCCCTGTGAACACAAGAAGGCCAGCTCAGGTTGTTCAGGATAGAGATCCCCATTCCCTTTCTCGTGCCAGACCCAAAATGGGTATTGGTAAACTAACTGACATATGATGACTCAAACCTTTGATATGGATACTTACTTCTCTTCAGACAAAAATAAGATAATCTGCGACACAACAATTCTCACAACCCATGGTTTGTTTGATCCAGAATCTTCAATATCCCACAAACAAACCCTGGGTGCCTGAAGCAGCCACTCCCCATTCTCTCCTCTCACCAGATCCAGTATAATTTAATTGATAAAATTCAATACTAGTTCTTTAGCAAGCTGAATTGATAGTACAACAGAAATTTTTCCAAATTAAGTGGATTATTTAATAATATCTGATGAAGAAAGATCTATTGTCATAGTTAGCAAAAGAGAAAATACCCAGACCTTTAGGGTGGAAAATATTGGAAAGAGGCCCTAGAGCTTTGCTCTCTCAATCTTTTTCCCATGGTCCCTTAATACATACTCCCCAAATAGCCCATATAGTTCCCTTGGAAACCCTCTGCTGAAAAACAAGTGAAGTTACCCCTGAAGTGCTAGCTATTAGACTAGCCCTCTGTATGTACTGGCTCACAAAACCTTTTGAAAGAAGTACAAGGCATTTTACAAGTGCCTTTATTGGAGACCAAAATGTGAATTATTAGCATATTACATGATCAGTTTCAATGTCTTCCCCTTCCAGAAAGTTCGGGGAGATACTTAGCGACATTTTCTCTCTGTCATAGAAAATGTAAGTTGACTGTGTCCTTCCATGGCTAATCTATGTAAACACACCTAAATAAAAGGTTTCCAGGTTTAAAAAAATCACACAAAACTGAGTTGTATTACTCACTGGAAGGTGGCCATGAGTTTCATCCTAGGCCCATCCAAGAGAAGCAATATTTTGGCATAGGTGTTAATCCTTTCCTCCATTTAGTTCACTATATTGTCAGTTAACTCAGGTTGTTTGATGAAATTTGATGGTTAGTATTAAGGTTGTTCTTATTCCTAGAAAGATAAACAAGCAATACTCAATATTAGTTTGTTTCTGAAATATGATGGGAGCAGCTATGCTCCCGAGAATATCCCTGTTATACCTGCTACAGGGTCAAGCACAAAACATTCACATCTATTACCCCTCAGTGCATAGGATAGAAAATAAGATGAAATTTTACAAGGTGTATCCTGAGCACAGCTTGCCCAAGGAGGGTCTTGGACACATATGATCAAAGGGAACCAATAGCTGTAGATTGACTGGTCTCCTTCTCATTGTTGACTATGTGGTATGAACCACATTCTGTATTTTAAAGATAGTACTTTTTAGAGAACCGCACATTCATTTATTGTCTGTATCTTACTTCAAAAGTATTTGAGGAAAAAATAGAAAAAAAGAAAAATTTTAAAGATGTTTTTGAGGTCTGAATAAAAAAAGTACATGGCTTTTCATCAATTTTTTTTCTTAAGAAAGCAGACTAAGCATATATAACCTTGGATTAGAGGAAGTGAAAACACATGGAATCATAGTTTTTATAAGATTGTCTAAGGCATTGGTTATTTCAAATTTCCCTTAAGATTTGAATCAGATATTTTTCCTGTAGATTCTGGCTAAAACAGAAATACTGTACCCTACAGGCCAAACACAACTTAGAAAAAAACACAGACTCCAGCCTGAGTTGAGGGGGTCTTACACATTAATGAAGAGCAAAATTCCCATTTGACACAGACAGGATGAATAATGTCTTCAGGAACACTGCTGTTTGGTAGGTGGTGAGCAAACAAACAAACCAAGTACTTCAACCACGAATAACTGAATTCAGCCACAGATTGAGAGCTCAGAGTAGATGTTGGCCTGGAGTCTTCAATAAGGCATGCAGCCTGCCAACCCCTTGACAAGGCTTAGGGGATTCTAAGCAGAAAATCAGAAAAAGCCTTGTTAAACATATAAGATACAGGACTGTAACAAGGAATTCCTGTGACTTTAAGCCACTAAGTTTCTGGTAATTGTAGCCACAAAAAAAAAAATCACTTGAGGATCACGGTAGAGCATAGGCTAGATTGTGTTGAATACCCTGTTAGAGAACTGTTGGCATCAAGGATACTGCTAGTGAGGGTTCAGAAGTTACTGAGAGGCACTAAAGGAAAAAAATTTAAAAAATAAGAAAAAAAAATAACCAATTTCACTTACAGAATATGTTAGGTCATTATGAACTTCTGGGAAAAAGAAGAGACTTGTTCTTGTAAACCAGACAAAGGGAAACACTTATTAGAAAATAGAAACTCTGGGACTGCTGATGCGGCATAGTAGGTTAAGCATCCTCCTGCAGAGCCGGCATCCCCTATGGGCACCGGTTCAAGTCCCAGCTGCTCCACTTCTGATCCAGCTCCCTGCTGATGGCCTGGGAAAGCAGTAGAAGATGGTCATGCTTAGGTCCCTGCATACCTATGGGAGACCCAGAAGAATCTCCTGGCTCCTGGTTTTGGATCAGCTCAGCTCTGGCTGTTGTGGCCATTTGGGAATGAACCAGCAGATGGAAGACCTATCTCTGTGTCTCTTCCTCCCAGGTAAAGATATAAATATTAAAAAAAAAACAGAAATCCTGAGGAGAACTGCTTCCTGTAGTGATATGGAATGTAGGCTTCTTCAATGTCAAATTTGGATATAAGGAGTAGAAATTCCCAAGTAAATATTCAGAAGGTGGCCTCTTTCACTCTTGCTGCTTATGGGAAATTGAGAAGAGCAAGATACAGTGAAGGAAATGTTACTGAACAAAAAGAGACAGAATTTCAAGCCTTGGGGAAATCTCAGACTATCCAGACATAAAAGATGTGATTATTTTTGAAGAGGATGTTTCAGAGAATGTGGCACAGATAAAAGGGTATGGTTGTACACCTTGTTACTAATGCTTCATAAAGATCAAGCAATAAGAATGTTCAGTCACACGAGGTTAGAAAGGATGAAAAGTGCGGCTCACAGATCCCTTCAAGCCAAGCAGAGGGATTCTAAAAAGCTAAAGGCATTGCCTCTCAGCCCTCTCAGGCCAAAGACAGAAATACAGAGGGCAGGACAGAAACAGAGACTGGTGCTCCTGTCTTCTATCCAATTGATACCCATAACCCTGGAGGAACAAAGTCCTTCGTATCAGCAGAAACACTTCCAGCTTGGACTGAGAGGAACAAAGTAAAGAATGAAAGAAGGCTCTTCAACCCCAAAATCCCACAAACAGAACACAGACTGATCCAATGAATCAGCTGCACACCCATTCTACTGTTCATGCAACAGGAAGGCTGACACGGGAATAAGAGCCAGAAGAGCAGAAAACAGGACCAAGTCCCTAGAAGGCAGGCCCGAGAGATACAAAAAAGCTGTACTTGAAGAACCTTAAACAGTATTTAAAATACGTTACATACACACTCTATGCCAATGGACCATTAAAATTCAGTTTCCATGTTAATACCAATGATAGCATATAAGTAAACTATAATATGTAACCAAAAAACTAATGTTTATTCACAAGTTCATAATGCAACAAAGAAAGATACCAAAAACTTTTTTGAAAAAATTATTTATTTTGAATTCAGAGTTACATGGGGGATGGGGGGAGAGAGAAAGAGAGAGAGAGAGAGAGAGAGAGAGAGAGATCTTCCAACTGATGGTTCACTCCTCAAATGGCTGCAACTGCAGGGGTTGTGCCAGGCCACAGCCAGCACCTGACAGAGCTCCTTTTGGATCCCCTATGTGGGTTCAGGGGACCAAACACTTGGGCTTTCTTCCACTGCATTCCCAGACAGATTAGCAGGGACCTGGACTGGGAGTGAATCTGCCAGGTCTCAAACTGGATTTCACATGGGATGCCAACATTGCAAGTGGCAGCTTTACCAACTATGCCATAGTTCCAGCCCCAAAATAATTCTTAATCAGTAAAGTTCACAATAAATATTTGCTGCTAGTTCATCAGAATTAACAATGACCATGGATTGTTTGACAGAAGTGTCCACTTCATTTATGAAGAAAAAGATAAAACTATTTTTCCCTGATATTTTAAACCAATTTACATCTTTAAAACTTGGTATTTCCAGTCAATAAACCAGTGAATATTCATTCTACACAAGCCATTTTGCTGCATTCAGTAAGGAACACTTGGATGAGTAGGATAGTTTGACTGATCAACCATTTAAAATACAATTTTCAAAATGAGAACCAAGACAATGTTTGGACAAACATGTGTAAGACAAAATAACAAAAATACTTGTAAAGAAGTAATTACAAGTTAGTTAGTTTTATATTAGCATGAAAATGTAAATTACTAAAGCTTATGATGAATTAATTTCCACCTTACTTAATATTGACCTTTTGGAAAATGAAGTGCTAAATAACATAAAATGCTGGACACATCAAAAAGATTCCAAAGACAAAACCATTCTTTGCTATAATTTGGTTGTGTTTTGACTATGTTCAAACAGAAGTCTGTGACCGTACTAGACAGAACCAAATAGACTATAGGAAACATAAAACTCATAAATAGGGCAGGCATTTTCAGAGATTTACAGAAACGTGTTTCTCCTGGAGCCACGAAAGCATCTCCTCTGAGAATACAAGGGGTTCTCTTGATCTCAGCAGCACTACTTATTAGGAACCTGATAGCTTTTTATAAAATCAGTGCTTAAGTTAAGAATTGGTTCCTATGACTTAGGGGAAGCAAGTCAGTGCATTTCCTGGGATTATCAGTGTGTTGGGATGATCTCAAGTAGTGTATGAAAATACTACCTTGTGTGGTGCAGGTTTGGATGACCTTCAAAACTCCTGGACTGCTGTTTGGTGGATGTGAACAGCTTTTTTCTTCACTCCTTGGCACAGAAATGAAGCAGCCTATATGTCTTGCTAGAGCACTATAGACAAATCCAGAAACATCAAGGATTCTCTAGTAGTCAGGGCAACTTGCCACTATGATGTCAAGGTTCTAAGGCTCATGCCATAACTGACAATCTGCCATACTGGTTTCCCATATAAAAGCCCCTTCTTTAGTTTTCCAAAACTTATCAGAGGTGATTACTGATTCACATGCAATTTGGGAAGCCAACAACTCTTTTCATTTAATTTCTACAAATGGCACAATCTCCCCAAACCACAGTTCAATATTATTCTTATGGTTCCACCAATTTTCTGTTCCTATAGAAATATCTGGGGTCAGTAATTTATAAAGAAAAGAGGTTTATTTTACTTATTATAGTCCAAGATCATGCAGTATTCCTGATTTAGTCTCTTCCTGGCTTGTAGACAATCATCTTCTCACTGTATCTTTACATGACAGGGAAGGAGAACGAGGTGAGGGCTTCAGTGTGAGCATTTGTGGGGAAACAATTTAGTCCATCATCATCTACATTCACTTATTACTTTTAACACTGACTTTTCTACTCTGAGTGCTAAATATAAGAAATCATATAAAAATAATGTTGTGCCTATAATATTTAAGCGTATCACAGACACAGAACTGTTTTCCTCATTCTTTTCCCCTTAAGTTTCCAAATGGATGATCAAATATCCATATACTAGATGGTTTTATATCTCTTTCATCATGCATGTGACATGGGGAAAATCAATTACTCTAGAAACATCTCCATGTCTTCATTTTCAAAAGAAATGAAGCACCTCAAGGAATTTTCATGGTTACTAAATAAAGTAACATTACAGAAAATATAGTATGGGGGGTTCATGGTTTAAGTTGCCACCTCTGACATCAGCATTCCATTTCAGTGTGCCAGTTCTAGTCCAGGCTACTTCACTTCCAATCCAGTTTCTTGCTAATACACATGAGAAGGCAGTGGAAAATGGCCCAAATAGTTGTGCCTTTCTCAGTCATGTGGGAGAACAGGATGGAGTTCCTGGTGTCTGGCTCCCTCTTAGCCCACATCTATTTAGACACTTGGACACTGAGTACACAGTTGAGAGAACCTATTCTCTGTCTCTCTCACTCTGCCTTTCAGATAAATATGTCTAAATAAAGAACCAGTGTGACATGTGGCACAGTAATTACTTCAGTAACATCAGTTCTTTTTGTAGCAGACAAGACTATGCCATTAAAGATGGGAAATTGTAACATGTATGTTCTTCCATGAGAAGGTAAAGAGAAAAACTCATCCAATCAAATCCATTGAGCAATTGCAAGGTCTCAAATTCCTTTCCAGTTACATTTTTTTGACAGTCATATCCTCAGGATCACCTTGCAAATTGAAAATCATTACGCCAGATTTATGGGGGGAGAAACTGAGACTCAGTGGAATTAAGGAAGTGAGATTCACATATCTGAGAATTTGCTCTCAGGTTGGTTAGGTGCCTAAGACGCATGACGAATCCATTTGTAACTAATGCTGTCATCCATGGAGAGAAACATATTCCTCTGTTTGAAGCCACATTTTGTTCAAGGGCGCTACATCATGTTCCTGGGATATACCTGCAGCTCCATCACTGTCTGCATTTGGGTTTGACAGATTCAAACTCACTCACTGTCTTCTCTCTGACAGAGGTGGAGCTTCCCACTTCTGTGGGCAGCCTGGTGCCACTCTCACACAGCAAATTTGCATGGGTTCTCAGGGCTCTCCATAGACACTGTTACTTCAGGGAGCCATACTTGGGTTTTAGGTTGAGATTAGGATCCAGGATTGGGAAAGGACTCTGATGATTCACTTCCTGAAAGCTACTAGTGCCCACCACCATGACAGATTCCCAGCTATCGACTGTGGACCCTTTCAACATTCCTTTCCACAAGCCAATCACCCTTTTCTACACTCTGGGTCACTGTCACTGTAACTACCTCTCCTCATGCTAGCTGGGATCTGTCTGTATCCTTATTCTACACTCTGGGCTCACTGTCACTGTAACTACCTCTCCTCATGCTAGCTAGGACCTGTCTGCGTCCTTATTCTACACTCTGGGTCACTGTCACTGTAACTACCTCTCCTCATGCTAGCTAGGACCTGTCTGCATCCTTATTCTACACTCTGGGTCACTGTCACTGTAACTACCTCTCCTCATGCTAGCTGGGACCTGTCTGTATCCTTATTCTACACTCTGGGTCACTGTCACTGTAACTACCTCTCCTCAGGCTAGCTGGGACTTCTCTGTATCCTTATCTACACTCTGGGTCACTGTCACTGTAACTGCCTCTCCTCGTGCTAGCTGGGACCTGTCTGTATCCTTATTCTACACTCTGGGTCACTGTCACTGTAACTACCTCTCCTCATGCTAGCTAGGACCTGTCTGTATCCTTATTCTACACTCTGGGTCACTGTCACTGTAACTGCTTCTCCTCATGCTAGCTAGGACCTGTCTGTATCCTTATTCTACACTCTGGGTCACTGTCACTGTAACAACCTCTCCTCATGCTGCCTGAGGCCTGTCTGTATCCTTATTCTACACTCTGGGTCCCTGTCATTGTAACTGCCTCTCCTCGTGCTAGCTATGACCTGTCTGTATCCTTATGCTACACTCTGGGTCACTGTCACTGTAACGACCTCTCCTCATGCTAGCTAGGACCTGTCTGCATCCTTATTCTACACTCTGGGTCACTGTCACTGTAACTGCCTCTCCTCATGCTAGCTAGGACCTGTCTGTATCCTTATTCTACACTCTGGGTCCCTGTCACTGTAACTGCCTCTCCTCGTGCTAGCTGGGACCTGTCTGTATCCTTATTCTACACTCTGGGTCACTGTCACTGTAACTACCTCTCCTCGTGCTAGCTAGGACCTGTCTGTATCCTTATCTACACTCTGGGTCACTGTCACTGTAACTGCCTCTCCTCATGCTAGCTAGGACCTGTCTGCGTCCTTATTCTACACTCTTTGTTACTGTCACTGTAACTACCTCTCCTCATGCTAGCTAGGACCTGTCTGTATCCTTATTCTACACTCTGGGTCACTGTCACTGTAACGACCTCTCCTCATGCTAGCTAGGACCTGTCTGCATCCTTATTCTACACTCTGGGTCACTGTCACTGTAACTACCTCTCCTCATGCTGGCTGGGACCTGTCTGTATCCTTATTCTACACTCTGGGTCACTGTCAATGTAACTGCCTCTCCTCATGGTAGCTGGGACCTGTCTGTATCCTTATTCTACACTCTGGGTCACTGTCACTGTAACTACCTCTCCTCGTTCCAGCTGGGAGCTGTCTGTATCCTTATTCTACATTCTGGGTCACTGTCACTGTAACTGCCTCTCCTCCTGCTAGCTAGGAGCTGTCTGTATCCTTTTTCTACACTCTGGGTCACTGTCACTGTAACTATCTCTCCTCATGTTAGCTGGGACCTGTCTGTACCCTTTTTCTACACTCTGGGTCCCTGTATCTGTAACTACCTCTCCTCGTGCCAGCTAGGACATGTCTGGGTCCTTATTCTACACTCTGGGTCACTGTCACTGTAACTACCTCTCCTCATGCTAGCTGGGAACTGTCTACATCCTTATTCTACACTCTGGGTCACTGTCAATGTAACTGCCTCTCCTCGTGCTAGCTAGGAGCTGTTGTATCCTTACTCTACACTCTGGGTCACTGTCACTGTAACGACCTCTCCTCATGCTAGCTAGGACCTGTCTGTATCCTTCTGCTACACTCTGGGTCACTGTCACTGTAACAACCTCTCCTCATGCTTCCTGGGGCCTGTCTGTATCCTTATTCTACACTCTGGGTCACTGTCACTGTAACTTCTTCTTTTCGTGCTAGTAAGACCTGTCTGTATCCTTATTCTACACTCTGGGTCATTGTCACTGTAGCAACCTCTCCTCATGCTAGCTAGGACCTGTCTGTTTCCTTATTCTACTAAACCATTTTTGCCTCCACAAAGTGTAGGATCCCAAAACCCTGACATCATGAACTTGCACCAGGACCCTTTTCTACCCTCTTCTGTCCATATCTGGAAATTGTAATTAATCTCTGAGGCCCTTGGCTCAAGGCAGGTGCTTCATTCTCTGAGATGAGTGATGACAGCAATCACAAATTTTAGGAAGTACCACTGAGCCAATTAAAGATAATAAGTAGGCCGGTGCCATGGCTCACTTGGCTATTTCTCCGCCTGTGGCGCCAGCACCCTGGGTTCTAGTCCCTGTTGGGGCGTTGGATTCTGTCCCAGTTGCTCCTCTTCCAGTCCAGCTCTCGGCTGTGGCCCGGGAAGGCAGTGAAGGATGGCCCAAGTTCTTGGGTCCTGCACCCACATGGGAGACCAGAAAGAAGCACCTGGCTCCTGGCTTCGGATCAGCGCAGAGCTCCGGCCATAGCGGCCATTTGGGGGGTGAACCAACGGAAAAAGGAAGACCTTTCTCTCTGTCTCTCTCTCTCACTGTTTAACTCTGCCTGTCAAAAAAAAGATAAGAAGTAATATTTTCAGTCAGTATTGGAGTCACTCTGCAATAGTGGCTCTAACTGATGTTTACAAGCCCAGTTATCATCATTTCATTAGAGAGTTCTAACCCCACAGTGGACAACCGTACTGCATTATGTATAGAGATGCAAATAAGAACTCACAAAACAAAGGACGAACCAAGAAAAAATGAGAAAGTCCAAGGATAACCACTGACTCTTGAAGAAAAGGGATAATTAATAGAAAAGAATCCATACTGAAAAAGATTAACATCTACAGTTAGGAAAAAAACAATAACTGACTACAGCTGAAGGAAAAATTGTAAAATACAATGCTTCATGTTTAATGTCTCAGAAATTAAAGGTTCCCCCAGGGTTTTAAGATTTAGGTAAAGCAATTACAATTGATCTAATACTTGGGGCATGTCTCAGGTTTCATGAAATAAGATTATGAGTTTTCACTCAACAGGTAGATCCATTCATTTTGGTCCATGAGTATGGAGTAATTTGGTATTTTAAACAATATAAATGGTTTGCCAGTATGTAGCATCACCCAATCAAAAAGACATGAAAGACACTAATAAAAATAAAGATGATTTGGTTATTTAAAAAGTAAAGCTATTCCTTACTCATGCATTGGAAAAGTCAGTACTGTTAAATTTTATATACTGCCTGAGTAATTTACAGACTCAATGGAATCCCTATCAAAATACCAATGGCATTCTATACAGAGTTGGAAAGACAATCCTAAAATTCACATGGAATCACAAAAGACCACAAAGAGCTGAAGTTATCTTGAACAAGATAACCCGAGCTGAAGGCATCACAATCCCTGATTTCAAAGCAGACTGCAAAGCTACAGAATTAAAAATAGCTTGGCATTGGCATAAAAACCAATGAACAGCTCAGTGGAATAGAGGAGAGTCCCAGATCAATTCACATGCATATAACCAACTGACTTACGACAAACGTGCTCACCATACAGTGGAGTTAGCGACAATATCTTCAAAAATGATGCTGGCAAAACTGGATGCATGTGCATAGAACAGTGAAATTAGATCCATTATCTCTCACCACATACAAAAATCAATTGAGCATACATCAAAAACCTAATTTTAGACCTGATATTTTGAAGTTCCTGAAAGAAAACTAAGGGAAACACTCAAAGACATCAATGTAGGGAACACCTTCTTGGACAGGATCCCCAAAACTCAGGCAACAAAAGCAAAACTAAGTAAATGGGACTGTATAGAACTCAGAAGCAAAGAAAATGATAGAGTGGAGAGACATCCAACAGAATGGAAAAAAATAATTGTAAACCATCTATCTGGCAAAGCATTAAAATCTCGAATATATCAGCAACTTAGAAAAGTCAAAAACATCAATCCAATACAGGAATGGAAAAGGACTCGGACAGTTCTTGAAAAGCAGATTGAAAATGCAAATGGCCAACAAATATATGAAAAAATGCTCATCTCTGGGCTGCAGGGAAATGCAAGTCAAAACCACAATGAGATATCTCCTCACCCATGTTAGAATGGATAAAATCCAAAACACAGAGTAACAAATACTGACAAGGACATGGTGAATTAAAGAGAAACACTTAGACACTGTTGAAAGGAATCTCAATTAGTGCAGCCATTGTGGAAAACAGTGTGGAGATGTGTTTTAAAACCAGAAATCATGTGATGTGCCACATCACATGATCCAGCATTCCCAGCACTGTGTGTATACCAAAATACTTGAACACAAGATATCCAAGAGATACCTGCATCATGTTTTTAGCAGCACTGCTCAAAAAGGCCAAAATTTGGAACCCATCAAGGTGTCCATCATTAGATGAATGGGTAAAGAAAATGTGGTAGACACACACAATGGAATTTTACCCAGCCACAAAAACAATGGAATTCTTCTATTTGCAGCAAAATGGACATTAACTGTAGCACATCCTGTTGAGTGAAATAAGCTGGACCCAAAAAGAAAAATAACACATGTTCCCCCTTAAATGGATTTAGGGGGGAAAATAAATGTTTTTGTGCATTAGTATTGCTGCAAATACAGTTTTCTTAAACTTTATTTTATGCCTTTGTGAAACCAATGGTTAACAATCTTATACTACTAAATTTTTAATCATATGTAATTACTTTAAAATTTACTGCATAAGAGTGAAATGATCTTTTTTTATTCGATTGCTGTTTACAGCCATTGTCTATATTCTCACTAAACTGTTGGCATTTTGTTTTTTTATTTGTTAAACTTAAGTGGTAAAATATTAACCCTTTTTACTGTAATGTAATTTGAAAACTGGCTCTCTTCAAAAACTAAAACCAAAGACAAAGAAAAGGGAGAAGGAAACATGGCAGAAGGGAGAAAGGGGGAGTGAGGAAGGGAATATCATTAAGTTCTTACAACTGTGTCAACAAAGCAAGCTGAGTCTGGGAAACACTAATTAAAACTAAAAGATATGACCGGCACCGCGGCTCAATAGACTAATCCTCTGCCTGCGGTGCCGGCACACCGGGTTCTAGTCCTGGTTGGGGCGCTGGATTCTGTCCCGGTTGCCCCTCTTCCAGGCCAGCTCTCTGCTGTGGCCTGGGAGGGCAGTGGAGGATGACCCAAGTGCTTGGGCCCTGCACCCCACGGGAGACCAGGAGAAGCACCTGGCTCCTGGCTTCGGATCACTATTAACTACCATTCTTCACAGAAGTTGAGAGGCATTTTTCCTGTTATATAATATAGTTAGTAGTATTTCACTGCCATGGTGAAACAGGGAAGATTAAATTGAAGGATAAAATTCACTATAATTCTCTAAAAATTCTGTTACTTCTTATTTTTACTTAAAGTGACAAGACATAGAACCTATGTATATTAATTTAATGTATTTCAGGATAAATTGTTCAGAAAGTCCATTATACTATTCCACAAAATGCTAATATTGTATAAAATATACAATCTAACTGAAAAATTCTCATTTCTTTCTTTTGAACTTCACATATGTGTGTTTATACACAAACATGTACACACACATAGATGTAGAGAAATATTCAGGTCATGTATAGTCTATACATCCAAAATAGGTCCTGCCCCTAGATTTTTAAAAATGAATGACTGAGGGGCTGGTGCTATGGCTCACTTGGGTAATCCTCCACCAGCCTGCGGCACTGGTATCCCATATGGGCTCTGGATTCTAGTCCCGGTTGCTCCTCTTCCAGTCCTGCTCCCTGCTGTGGCCCGGGAGGGCAGTGGAGGATGGCCCAGGTGCTTGGGCCCTGCACCCGCTTGGGAGACCGGGAGGAAGCACCTGGCTCCTGGCTTCGGATCAGCATGGCGCCATCCATAGTGGCCAATTGGGGAGTGAAGCAACAGAAGGAAGACCTTTCTCTTTCTCTCTCTCTCACTGTCTGTAACTCTACCTATCGAATAAATAAATTAAAAAAATTTAAAAAATGAATAACTGAGATGCAATTTCATTTAGTTCACAGGAAATGTGCACTCTGAGAAATTGTGCAGCAATTCAAAAATTTTTTGCAAAAAGTGCCCTTACCTCTTAACCCATTTTGAGAAACTTTTCAAAGAATTCTTATATATTTTGCATATGTAGATGACCCAATTAATATAACAAAAGTCACTATTCCAA